GAAGAGAAATTTGACAATAACCAAGAAGAAATGAGGAAGAACCATGAGGAACTGAAGAAGAACCATGAGGAATTGAAGAAGAACCAAGAAGAAATGAAAAATGACATCGCTACCATGAAGAACTCAATAGAAAGCATCAAGAGTAGACTAGAGGAAGCAGAGGACCGCATCAGTGAGCTAGAAGATAAGATGGAAAAAAATACCCAAGTAGAGCAGCTTCTAGAAAAAAAGATTAAAAAGCAGGAGGAGAGCCTACGGGAGCTTTGGGACATTACAAAACAAAATAATATTCGAATAATAGGGGTTCCAGAAGGAAAGGAAACTGAGGTAGACATGGAAAAAGTATTTCAAGAAATAATGACAGAAAACTTTCCTGAAATAGAGAAGAAAAAACCCACACAAATCCAAGATGCTCGCAGAGTCCCAAGCAAAATGAATCCCAGAAGACAGACTCCGAGGCACATTATAATCAAATTGGCAAACAACAATGACAAAGTAAGAATCTTAAAAGCAGCCAGAGAGAGACAGGAAGTTACATACAAAGGAACCCCCATCAGACTAGCAACTGATTTCTCAACAGAAACTTACCAGGCCAGAAGGGAATGGGATGAAATATACAAAGTCATGCAAAGGAAGGGTCTGAATCCAAGAATACTGTACCCAGCAAGGCTATCAATCAAAATTGAAGGGGAAATCAGGAGCTTCACAGACAAAAAAAGACTGAAGGAATTTATCTCCACCAAACCAGCAATGCAAGAAATGCTAAAGGGTCTACTGTAAAAATAAAGAAATAGGAAGTGAAGAAGGAACACGGGTATAGAATAAAAATGGCATCAAATGTGTACCTATCAATAATAACCTTAAACGTAAATGGATTAAATGCTCCAATCAAAAGACATAGGGTAACAGATTGGATAAGAAAACAAGACCCATACATCTGTTGTCTACAAGAAACCCACCTCAGAAAAAAAGATGCACACAGACTGAGGGTGAAGGGATGGAAAAAAGTTTTCCAGGCAAATGGAAATGAAAAAAAAGCTGGGGTAGCAATACTTATATCTGACAAATTAGATCTCAGAGTGAAGGACATAATAAGAGATAATGAAGGCCACTTCATAATACTAAAGGGAACAATCCAACAAGAAGAAATAACCCTGGTAAATATATATGCACCCAATACAGGAGCAACCAAATACATTAAAAAACTGCTGGAGGACATTAAGAGAGAGATTAATAGCAATACAATCATAGTAGGAGATTTTAATACCCCACTGTCACCCTTCGACAAATCATCTAAACAAAAAATCAGCAAAGAAATATCAATCCTAAGGGACTCACTAGACCAGATGGAATTAATTGACATCTTCAGAACACTCCACCCCAAAGCCACAGAATATACATTCTTCTCAAGTGCACATGGGACATTCTCAAAGATAGACCACATTTTGGGTCATAGGCAAAGTCTCTTCAAATTCAAGAAGATAGAAATCATATCAAGTATCTTCTCAGACCATAATGGCATAAAACTGGAAATTAACTACAATAAAAATAATCCAAAGAAATCAAACACATGGAGACTAAACAGCACGCTATTAAACAAGGACTGGGTTACCAGAGAAATCAAGGAAGAAATTAAAAACATCCTGGAAACAAATGACAATGAAAACACAACAATCCAAAATCTATGGGACACAGCAAAAGCAGTCTTAAGAGGGAAGTTCATATCCTTACAAGCCTATTGCAAAAAACTAGAAAAAAGGGTAACAGATGATCTAACTCTACAACTCAAAGAGTTAGAAAAGGAGCAACAAGAAAAGCCCAGTGTAAGCAGAAGGAAGGAAATAACAAAAATCAGAGCACAGATAAACGACATAGAGACCAAAAAAACAATACATAAGATCAACAAAACCAAGAGCTGGTTCTTTGAAAGAATAAACAAGATAGATGAACCTCTAGCCAGGCTAACTAAGAAACAAAGAGAGAGGACCCAAATAAACAAAATCAGAAATGAAAGAGGTGAAATAACAACAGACCCCAACGAAATACAACGGATTGTTACAAAATACTACGAACAACTCTATTCCAACAAACTGAACAACCTGGAGGAAATGGACATATTCCTAGAAAAATACAAACTTCCAAAACTCGATCAGGAAGAATCTAAAAATCTCAATAGACCAGTGACTTGGGAAGAAATTGAAACAGTCATCAGAAAGCTTCCAGCAAACAAAAGCCCAGGGCCAGATGGCTTCACAGGAGAGTTTTACCAAATATTCAAGGAAGAACTAAAACCTATCCTCCTCAGACTTTTCCAAAAAATTCAAGAGGAAGGAACACTTCCAAACTCCTTCTATGAAGCCAGCATCACCCTAATACCAAAACCAGATAAAGACAACTCAATGAAAGAGAATTACAGGCCAATATCCCTCATGAACATAGATGCCAAAATCCTCAACAAAATCCTAGCAAATCGGCTCCAGCAGAGCATCACAAAGATCATACACCATGACCAAGTAGGATTTATTCCAGGAATGCAAGGATGGTACAATATCCGCAAATCAATAAACGTGATACATCACATAAACAAATTGAAAGATAAAAATCATATAGTCATATCAATTGATGCAGAAAAAGCATTCGATAAAATCCAACACCCTTTCCTGATAAAAACTCTTAACAAGGTGGGAGTACAAGGATCATACCTCAACATAATAAAAGCTATATATGATAAACCCACAGCCAACATTATACTCAATGGGCAAAAACTAAAACCATTCCCTCTAAGAACAGGAACAAGACAGGGATGCCCACTTTCGCCACTCCTGTTTGACATAGTACTGGAAGTACTAGCCATTGCAATTAGACAAGAGGAGGAAATAAAAGGCATCCAAATTGGAAAAGAAGAAGTAAAGTTATCCTTATTTGCAGATGACATGATATTGTACATAAAGAACCCAAAAGACTCCATTAAGAAACTAATTGACTTAATAAATGAATTTGGCAATGTAGCAGGATACAAAATTAACGCCAAGAAATCCATGGCATTTCTATACACCAACAGTGAAACTACAGAAACAGAGACTAAAAAAGCAATTCCATTTACCATCGCACCAAAAAAATTAAGATACCTAGGAATAAATTTAACTAAGGAAGTAAAGGATCTATATGCAGAAAATTACTCGACATTGAAAAAAGAGATAGAGGATGATGTAAGGAGATGGAAGAACATACCATGTTCATGGATTGGTAGAATCAACATCATCAAAATGTCCATACTTCCTAAAGCAATCTATAGGTTCAATGCACTCCCCATTAAAATACCAAGGGCATATTTCACTGACCTAGAAAGAACTCTCCAACAGTTCATTTGGAACAATAAAAGACCCCGAATAGCCACAGCAATCCTGAGAAAGAAGGGTAAAGTAGGAGGGATCTCAATACCGGACTTCAAACTGTATTACAAAGCCACTGTTCTCAAAACAGCCTGGTACTGGCACAAGAACAGACATATAGATCAATGGAATAGAATCGAGAACCCAGATATCAACCCAAATCAATATGCTCAATTAATATTTGACAAAGGAGGCACGAATATACAATGGAGTCAAGACAGTTTCTTCAATAAATGGTGTTGGGAAAATTGGGTAGACACATGCAAAAGAATGAAACTAGATCACCAACTTACACCATACACAAAAATAAACTCAAAATGGATACAGGACTTAAACATCAGACGGGAAACCATAAAAATACTAGAAGCATCCTCAGGCAGCAAAATCTCAGACGTATGCCAAAAGAACTTCTTCACTGATACTGCCCCCAGGGCAATGGAAGCTAAAGAGAAAATAAACAAATGGGACTACATCAAAATAAAAAGCTTTTTTACAGCAAAAGAAACCATCAACAAAACAACAAGAAAGCCCACTGTGTGGGAGAACATATTTGCAAATAACACCACTGATAAAGGTTTAATCTCTAACATCTACAGACAGCTGATACAACTAAATAAAAGGAAGATGAATGATCCAATTAAGAAATGGGCAAGGGACCTAAATAGAATATTTTCAAAAGAAGACAGAAGGAAGGCCAAAAGGCACATGAAAACATGCTCAAAGTCACTAATTATACGAGAGATGCAAATCAAAACAACAATGCGGTACCATCTCACACCTGTCAGAATGGCCAACATCAACAAGTCAACAAACGACAAGTGTTGGCGAGGTTGCGGAGAAAAAGGAACCCTCGTGCACTGCTGGTGGGAATGCAGACTGGTGCAACCACTGTGGAGAACAGTGTGGAGTTTCCTCAAAAAACTGAAAATGGAACTCCCATTTGATCCAGTAATCCCACTCCTAGGAATATATCCCAAGAAACTAGAAACACCAATCAGAAAGGATATATGCACCCCTATGTTCATAGCAGCACAATCTACAATAGCCAGAATTTGGAAACAGCCTAGGTGCCCGTCAGCAGATGATTGGATCAAAAAACTTTGGTACATCTACACAATGGAATACTATGCTGCCATAAAAAAGAAGGAATTCTCATCATTTGCAGCAACCTGGATGGAATTGGAGAACATCATGCTGAGTGAAATAAGCCAATCAATGAAAGAGAAACACCACATGACCTCACTCATTTGTGGATAATAAAGAGCATTATAAACTGATGAACCAAAAGATAGATATAGAGACAGTAAAGCAACAAGCAGATTGTCAAATTACAGCGGGGAGGGGAGGAGGATCTGGGGGAGATAACAGATCAACCGAAGGACTTGTATACATGCATATAAGTACAACCAATGGACATAAAACTATGGGGAGGGAGGGGATATGGGGGAGGGAGGGAGGGGGCAAAAAAAAATCATTAAAATATGTAAAAATAAATAAATAAATAAATTAAAAAAAAAAACAAAAAAAAAAAAAACATGAGTTGAGAACCTACCTTTTGCAATGTCTTGTGCAGATGGGAGAGTGGTAATCCTGAACAGGAAGCACCGATTTCATGAGAAACACACACACACATGTTTATTGTTCCTCCCTCCTGAGTTGCTGTTTCCTTCCCTGTCTTCACAACTGAGTTTAAGAGTAGCTTAGGAAACTACCCAGGATTGGCATGATGAATTGAATGGAATCTTCAAACTTGTATGGGGTGATCCTCTCTCCTCTAATACTGAACCTGCCTCATGAATTTCCTCCTCCTTTTTGGTAGCAAATGGCTTCTGTCCTCCACAGGAGTAGCTGTCAGCCCAAGTCACCCTGATGCAAGCCATGTGGCCAGTGATTGTCTAGAGAACTAGAGTATCAGCCAAAACAATAAGGGTGAACAGATATTCAGTGTCACTGAGATTAAGCAGATAATGCTTTGGTGTTGTTTAAAGGAAAAAATTGAACCAAGGAAGCAATTCAGGTTCAGCTTCTCTTTGCTTCCTCTTGCTCCAGCCCCTTTCCACTCTAAGACCTTTATTAGTGTTGCTTCTTCCTTTAGCTTCATGGGACCAGAGTCGCACGGGACAGGACTCCTATGTCCTCATGGCCAGCTCCCAGGCGGAGATGGAGGAATGGGTTAAATTCCTGAAGAGAGTCGCTGGCACACCCTCTGGAGGTAAGGACCCCGACAGGCTTTCCTGGGCAGGTGTCTGTAACATCTCTGTGATGGGGGGAAGCAGCTCTAGATATGATCTTCCCTTGAACAGTGTTCAAAGGCCAAAGGACAACTCTGAGGCCATGCTCATTGTCAAGCTTCTAGCTTCCTGTCCCAGGTGATCTCAGCTGATGTTTGGAGTCCACCTGTGAACCTAGGGTCTGGGGCAGGGAGGCAATTCTGGGGCCTGTGACCTACAATATGGGCACTACAAGAAAAGAAGTAATTTGGAGGGGACAGCCAAACTCAGGAGTGCCTGCCTAAGTCATCCTGAACTATGGTAACCTATTACAAAAAAGAATAACATGGTTTCATTAAACATTTCCCAATAATTTTACGGTGCTAATCAGGCTGAAATGAAGCTTTTCTATACTAAAGCTCTATTATATACTATCCAGCCTGCATAAAGGTAGCTTCAACCTTCCTTATTGCCCTGGATTGTGAAATGGTTGACGTTTTCTGTTTTCTCTAGCCCAGCATTTTTGGCTGTCTGCATTGACAAAGGTCGTGGATATTGCCTAATCATATACCTAACCTTAAACCTAACCTAACCTAACCCTAACTTTAACCCTAACCCTAACTTTAACCCTAACCCTAACTTTAACCCTAACCCTAACCCTAACCTATGCCCTATAGCCAACATCTGTGTCCCTTGTGCTTGGCTCAGCCCTGCCACTGCACTCTGCTTTACTGTGTCATTGTCCACATGGGGATCTCTCCCTCCCCCTTCCTCAAGGCCAACATCCTAAGAAAGTCAAGCATAAGTCCTATAGACTGGGAGGAGAAAACAGAGTATATCACTATTTATTTATTCAAGGAACAGGGTTTGGCTTTGCAGTGGCATTTCAGATGTTCTTCAGGCCTCTCACTGAACCCAAATAATAGATCTCAGGATGGGAAGGCATTTGAAGATAGCAGAGTCCAGTCTGAGGTCCTGGGGCAGGTCAGCCATCTGTTCTTTCTGTTTGTAAGTCAGGAAACTTCAGTCCTGAAGAAGTAAATAATTTGCCCAAGGGGTCCAGCCATGGAGCAGCAGGGCCAGGGCTCCTGCCTCTGTAGGTAGCTCACTTCCACTTGTAAAGATCCCCTGGTTCTGTTAGCTGGGCAGAGCAAACACCCTCAACCACTGAGAAGTCTGAGAATGTTGCTGCTGCCTCATTTGTGAAATTGCCTATGGATTTTCCCACCCAGAACCTGCTCACTGCTCATGACCTTCACTGTACCATCCTGTGAGGTGTTATACTGCTTCAGTATGAATTATAGTCTGTCTTCCACATAACAGCCAGAATGAACTGTTAAACCTGTTTGTCAGTGGAGGTCCTCCTCCACTCAACACTGTCCCATAGCTTCACTTCTACCTCGAGGAAAAGTCAAAAGCTTATAATGAACCACAGTGCACAATCTGCCCCATCCATTACCTTTAACCTTGTCTTCCAGTACCTCCTGCTGTGCTTATTTCACTCCAAACTCACCAGCCTCCTTGATCTTCTCCAAACACCATGGAAATGTATCTGATCAGGGTCCTTGCACTTGCTGTCTGTAATTCTCTTCCCCCAGGTAGCTGTATGATTTGGTCTCTTGCTTTGTTTCTGTCTTTGCTCAAACATCACCACAGTGAGCCTGCCCTTAATCATCTCATTTAACATTGAACCCCTTCCTCCTGCCCTTCTCCCAGGCCCCCCCCCCCCCCCCCCAGCCCCCTTTCCTGCTTCATTTTTCTCCTTTCCTGCCTTCTTCTAACATGCTAAATATTCTACTCATTTGTTTTGAGTTGGTTACCCCTCACTAGAATGAAAGCTTCAATCAGTTTTGCAGGAATTTCCCCCTCTATTTTGGGGATGCTGTATCCCAGAATCTAAACAGTTTGTGCTCAATAAATGTTTTTAAAGGAGTAGGTCCCCTCTATCCAAGCAGCTCTCTGTTCTACTTCCCTAGGCTGTCCACTTTGATAAATGACTACCAGCTTATCTGCAAAATTATTCTGTAAATGGGTTGCTCCCTCTAGAATGATATTCCTTCAAGCACATTAATGATGAGCTTTAGTGAAGTTCTTTAGGGTTCATAGATGCCTTAAAGAATTCAATAAAAGCTTTGGATTCTCTCTTTGAAGATACATTTAGACAAAATAATTCTGAGTTCAACTGCAGGATATTTTCAGACCCCGATAGTCATCTACACCCTCCAAGTAATGAATCCCAGCTCTTAAGTTTTCGAAGTCACTAGTGACAGTTCTGCAAAGCTAAGGCCTCTTCCTGCCCCAGTCCCCTTCCTGGTCTCCATTCTCCCTTGATGGGAAAGATGGCCTACGTGGTTTCCACAGCATACCCAACTTCTTCCCTGTGGCTCCTCCTGCCTGGTAGCTGGCCCTGAGCATTCCTCTCACCTTATCTGATTCAGGAACCAATTCCAATGTGAGAGTGGATGTTTCCTACACGTCATAGACATCAGCTGGGAGTCCTGCAACTTAACTCAGTACTGACATTACCCAAATAGCATCAGATTCCACAGCCTAAGGGCCCAGTCCTACAAGACTGACCCCAATCACGTACACAGTTCAGATGTCTTGGCAAGTCCAGCTGTTAGCTGTGCTCCAGGATGGCTGACTATAGATGGGAATTTTCAACAATGACCTCCTTGGTTTTGATTAACTTTCTAGAGTGGCTCACAGAACTCAAGAAACCAGTTTATTCACTATATGCCAGTTATTATAAAAAGATATAACTCAGAAATAGCCAAATGGAAGAGATACAGAGAGCAAGGTGCAGGGAAAAGGACATGGCCTCTACGGGAGCTCCACTCTCCTCTCATCTCCATGTATTCACCAGCCCAGAAGCTCTCGGAACTCTGTCCTTTGGGTTTTTATGGGGCCTCATAACACAGATATGATAGATTAAATCACTGGCCATTGGGAATCAATTCAACCTCCAGGCTCTCTCTCCTTCCCTGAATTGTGAGTTAAGAGGGTGGGATTGAAAGTTCCAATCCTCTCATCATCTGGTGCTTTCCAAAAGATTAAAGATACCTTTATAACTCTCATAATGGAAATTCCAAGAGTTTTATGAGCTCTGTGCCAAGAAACGAGTCAAAGACCAAGTGTATATTTCTTACAATCAATCACTCTAGACAGCATCACCTTCCCCAGAAGTTCTGGATGCAATTCCAGGTTTTTGCAACTTAAGTAGGATAAAGGGAAAATCGGAGATCACATCCCCACTTCTGGTGACTTGTTCTCAGGCTCATAGCTGCTGGTTTTCTTCAAAACACCTCCTCCTTTTAGTAAAAGGGCTCTGCCTCCGCTGGATCCCCACATTGAAACCTGGTCTCTGTCCCATCTCTGGGGATCAGGCAGCTCACATTGCAAATTGCTACTCAGTCGGGACATGTTCTGCCCTCTTCCTCTGGAGGCTGGCCATCTGAGGCATTTCTCAGGCCACTGCTGAGCACATAAGCACTGCACTAAATTGTGTACACTAGTAGGCCTGCTCAGCCCAACCAGATAATAAGACCCTGGAGTATTAGTATGTCCCATGTGTTAAGCATCTTTTGTGTTTGCCAACACTAGGCTTAGAGTATATAAATAAGGAATTGTTAAGTGCCTAGGTTCCTTTGTTTCCTCTCGTTTTTGAAATTCTCTTGTCCTTCAGAGCATGAATTCACAATCTGTAGAGCAGTGTAGCTCATGAGAGAGTGCTGTGTCCGCCATTTATTGTTCCATGCGTTCTGGTTCTTTCTCTCTAGTTAAAGTGGACATTAAAAGGAATAACTTTTTTACTTATTTTTATTAATTCTCTCATTCCCCTCCCTCAGATCCTTACACCAGACAGATACAAGTTTATTCATGAACTCAAACAAATGTTTTTTGAGAATGTGTTATAATAGGCCAAGCACTGGGGGTATAATAGTGAAAGAGATGGTGGTGGGAGCAGAGAGGAAGGAAGAGAAGAGGAAAAAAAGGCAAATTCCTTTCTCTCAAGGAGCTCACAGTATAGTATAAGACACATAAATTAATTAAACACACACACACACACACACACACAGAGAGAGAAACCTATGTAACTACAACTCTGAAAAGTAGCACAAAGGAAAAACACATGATAAGATAGGGGGTGGGGGAGGATTGTATTTGTCAAGAAATTTAGGGAAGCCCCCAACTAGTGATGATTCAGCTTAAATCTGAAGGGTTAATAGAGGCTAATTAGGCAGAAAAAGAGGAAGAGGAAGTGTCTCTGTCAGAGAAATAGCATGTGCAAATGTCCTGTGACAGAAAGAACAGGTTCTGAATTGAGAGAAAGGTGAAAACTGTGAAGATAGCCCTGATAAAGATGTTGGCTTGGAAGAGGGTGATGGTGGAGATGGAGAGAAGTGAATAGGTCTGTGCAGCATTGTACTGTAGAGGTGACACTGCCAGACCTGGGAGTGAATTCCACATGAAGGAGAATGTGGGGTCCAAGATGAGTCCTCTATTCCTGGCCTTTGAGTGAATGGAGGGATGAACACTTGGTTGGCAGCATCGCACTGCCCAGGGCCTTTCTTGGCAATCCTCTCTGCTTCTGACTATCTTAGCTTCACTTCCCCCCCACCCCCCATCTCTTACCCCAGTTATGCTAAAAGTCCATTTCAAGTCTCCTGGGCCTGTCTGGTAGGGTTGCTGCACTATTTGCTAAATCATCTCCACGGGAGGGGGAAAAGCATCTCCCTTTAGCCAACAACCCACCTCCAAGACTATTCTCTGTGAAGGCTCGACCGAACCACCTGCAACTGTGAAAGCATTTCCAGAGAAGGGTGGGCTGACTTCATCAACACTAAGTGAAATCCTGTGTTCCTGCCAGATGCTTTGATATATGGGACAATGCTGGTAAGGGCTTGCGTGAGGGAATTTTTTTAACCCACCTCCGTGGTATCCCTTGAATGGCAGTTGACAATTAGCTGCTAAGTAAAAGGAGGCACTTATTTTTATTGTGGGCCCTGACAGCTTTATGTTCACTCTTTAAAAGCCAAGAGTCATGTGTATAAAGGTGAGTGGGGAGGGGAAGTGGTGTGGGAAGGAGGGAGGGAGGGAGGGCCCGGGGCAGGTGCCTACAGATCCCAGAGTTTCTGTGCTGGAGTCAGAATCCCAGCAGTATTTACAAGCATGTGCTGGTCTGAAGGCGAGAGAGGGTGGCTCTCCCAGCCTGGGGAGGAGGACAGGCTTGAGGCTGGCCCAGCAGGGGCTGCGATTCCTCGCTGTTGCCTGCCTCATATTCCCAGGATGCCGCAGTGGGCAATGAGCTGTGGCTTTCCCTCTCTGGCACTGCTCTTTGGCTGGAATTTCAGGAAGAAAATCCACAAGCTCCGAAAGAAAGGTATTTCCTCCCTATTTTGTGATTCTAGTCTTCCTCTGAAAGACACTTTGCCTGGCTCCCCTTCTCCCTCCCCTCCCTTGTCAGGGGTGGGGAAGCTCCTGGAACTGTGCCCACGGGAAGCAGGTACCAATGCTTAGCAGACAGGGCGAGTGGGAAGGGGTGAAGCTGGGAGCAGAAGGGGGTGGGCAGACTCTCCTGGTGACGGGGGTTGGGGAGTTAGGGGGAGGGTAGGGGGCGTAGGTGGGGGGAAATGAGTTCTTTTGTCTTGAACCCAGGAATGTTTGAGTGATGAAGGAGAGACCAGGAAGTAATAGCTAATCCTTCCATTTTAATTTCCCCAAACCAACCCTGTGTCCTGTTATTGTTATTGTGTGTGTGTGTGTGTGTGTGTGTGTGTGTGTGTGTGTAGCAAACTTATGGAGGGGTCTTGAGAAATAAAGGCTGGATGATGACCAGTAAGCAGAAACTGGACATCAGTCCACCTCTTTCTGCCACAGAATTAACTTAATTAATTATTATATGACATATTGTGATTCGCTAATCATTTAAAATTTGTATCCGTTAAGATGGAAATGCCTGTTAATGCTGACTGGTCCAACATGATGAGCAGTTTTTAGTGAATGAGTGGCTGGCAGAGGATAGAAAGAGCAGGTGCAACCTAGGAGGCATGGTGCAGAAGGGAAGCCTAGGGGTGGAGAATGGTCTTTGAGTGTCTCCCACCCCCTTCCTCCTTCATTGGACTCTTCCTTAGTTTCATTGATGAGGGATGTCTCAGCTCATCTATTCCCCATACCTAGGCTACTTTATGTCCACTCAGGATCAAAGGGTGGCAATCAAGATCCAGAAGTCAGAGGTAGGCAGAGCTCAGGATTGGTCTCTGGCTTTCCAGGGATGTTGTGCACCAAACTCCTCATATTCGATCTGAGATGAAGAGTGATGAAGCCTGGCCTAGACAAACTAAAGCAAGCAAGGATGCTCCTTCTCTCTCATAAGAAGTTGGTCCTGATGTGCCTAGAGCTTGCAACAGTTATGTCTTGTTGGAGAGAATAGCTTTGGCTGATTTGTAGAATGGAGATGTAAAGTTCCGAAGTCTTCATCATATGATATTTATGATATTTAAAGCTGTGAGATTTACAGAGTATGTGCAGATGCGAAAAAGAAAGCCTGGGACACTCTGACATTTGGAGGACGGGGAGAAACAGGAATCATCAGAAAAGGCTGAGAAGGAGCAGCCAATGAGCTAAATGGAGAAATGAGAGAGTGGTGGTCCAAAAGCCATGTGAAAATTTGCATCATGAAGGAGGGGTAATTTGATGGGGGCTGATAGAGGAATTAATATAAGGCTGGAGAATGTGACCCCAGATTTATAAATGTAAAATAGGCCATTGATCTTGACAAATGCAAGTATGAAGAAATGCTGATCAGAGTGTATTCAGGAGAGACAAGGCTGAGTACAGGAGGGGTAGGGGACAGCAGGTAATAAAAGCTCCTTGAGGACTGGTCCATCATGTGCCAGGCACTGTGCCAGGAGATAAAAATAGATGGTGAGCCAGACAGGCTGTCGGCCTTTGAGGAGCCCACAGTCCAGTGGAAGAGAGAGATGTTTAAATAAATCATTGTAAAATCCACGAGAAGAGATGGAATAGAGTTATATACAGGGAGCTCTATGAGCACAGAGGAGAGTGAGCAAGTCCCTCTGAGGTGATGGCATTTGAACTTGGGCTATCGTAAGATCAGGTTTCTAGGTGGGGAGAAGGAGGAAGGGCATTTGCTCTAGAGTTTCCAAGAGCAAAGACCATTTTTCACTCTTTCTATCATAATCTCTAGCTCCCACAGCACAGATGCTCAGTCTATATTTGCTAAGTGATTTGTGCATTCCAGTGAAAGGAATTTGCAAGAAACAGAGTCGCATAAGAAATCATTGCAATAATTTTGAAAGTGGCAGCAAGGATAGAGAGGAGAGACAGTTGAAGGTGTAATTTAGAATGTACTGATCTCTCTGGAAGGAAAGAGGGGTGTTGCAGATCATTTCAACGCTCACACTTTTGCTAACTGGGCTGAGTGCAGGTACCTTGTATTAAAGTGCTTGGTGTTTGAGTGCTCGATTGACCAAATGCTATGGCTGTGAGGAATGCTATAGAAGAAGGGTGATTTGTAAGGAGGGATAGGTAGAATGAGAGTGAGGTTGGAGAAGCCATTAAGTGTTGGAATTGTGGAATGGGGGGAGAGAAGAGAGAGAAAGAGAGAGAGAGAGAGAGAGAGAGAGAGGGAGAGAGAAAGAGAGAGAGAGAGAGAGAGGAGAAATTACAGAGATAGAGATAGGAAGAGACCAGGAGCAGATATGGGGATTTTGTTACCAGATTGTAGGTGATATCCCAATGTCTAGAGTGGGAGGACATCTGAGCTGGAATGCCAGGAAATGGCACATCAGGTGGAAGAAGGGGCACAGTAAAGGAGACTGTAAAAGAGCCCATAGAGATGTGGGCATAAAATGAGAGTGAGTGATTTTGTGGTCATGTAGGGAGAATGTCTTGTAAAGGAAGAAGAATCATCCCCATCAGAATCTTCAGTGAAGACCAGTAGAGTGTGGAATAAGCATAGGAGGGCAGGGCACTGGAAGTTTTATTGGGCAGGCTGAGTGGAAAGATGCAGGCTGATTAAACCAGATGGAGAGGATTGAGGGGTTGGGAAGTGAATGCTAAGGGCAGAAGTAAAGGCTGTGAGGGTGGATGACTCTTTCAAGAAGTAGACTCATCATTTTTTGGGTGAATATACTGGTGAATAGAAGAAAGGAAGCATTGGTCATTTGAGACTCGGGATAGGAGATTAGTCTTTAATAAATTAGCAAAGACTTAGATACATGTGGGCTCTTTCAATTGAAAGGGAAAAATACAAAAAGAGAAGGAGTGAAATCTTGGAAGAGGTGAAAAGGGTGGAAGAAAACACTATCTTGGAGGAAGTACAGGGTCTTTTTCTCCCTCTAAGAGAGACAGGCAGGCATACAGGAAGAAGAATAAAAGAGGCAGGGACTGGAAATGAGGGAGTTCACTCATTAAGTCCTCAATTTGGGGAGATAAGGGAAAGAGGAGACAAGGTCACCTGCTGAGACAGGAGAGAAGATGGTGGTGAGCTCAAGGGGAGTGGTGAAGCTTTGGAACCGATCTTACAGAGATTGGAAATATAAATGTCCATGATATGTTAGGCTGCATTCACACATAGCTCCCAGTGGCCTGATAAAGGCGTGGAGAGGGAGTGGAAATCAGCAGAGTGGAGATGATGGAGAGAAAGGATGTGGGAATGAGTGTACTGTTGAAAGTGGACAGGACTGATGGACTCAGAAGAGGAGAAAAGTTAGAGGATTGACTATGCAGAGGGGCATAAGAAGAAGCTTGATTCCAGATCACCTGCAACGTGGACCTTCCTTCTGCTTGGGGACCTCAGAAATGCAGCTCACATTTGACAACTCTGACAGCTGTGTGCACACTGTCACATTGTGTTTGGGAGATCTTTCCTTAGGAGGCCCCATGGGCCCCTTGAATTCAAGTTTCAACTACTCTGAAACACATCCACCTGTCCCTTTGAAGTGTTCTTCCCTAGACCCCTCAAAGGGAATTTTACAAAGGCCACGTGGCCTATATTGTAAGTCAGCTCATTTTAATTATTTCCTTCCAGTTTGGTGAATATATCTATCCAGGTCATTTCACAGACAAACAGCAATCTAATTCTATATTGTATTGACATTCCCTAATTGTTTTTCATTATTTTGCATAGGGTCTTTTCATGTTCATAATTTGATGACAAGCTAATTGAGCATAACAATCCCTTACTCTGCAGAGCCAATGGAATGCCATGTGGGCTGCTCCTGGAACATGGCAGGATACTCAATAAATGTTAGCGTGAAGCTGAATTTGTCTGCTGAGATATCAACTAGTGTTTAAAGTAAATAAATGCCAAAATTATCATTAATTGTGGAAAGCATTTGCTTGAAGATGAAATGATTTATTAAGTAGTTTAGCAAAATTTGTTGACTCTACCTTGTGCCAGGCCCTACGCCAAACTCTGGGAATAAAAAGAGACCTTCCCCATATTTCTAGCATGAGAGAGTCTATAGTCATACAGAGGGCACCGGGGCATACACATAATCATAGCACAGTGTAGAAAGGAATTGGGATATTTGAGAAGGATACGGATACACAGAGTAGAGATAGAATCTCTCAGACTGAGGTCAGGGAAGGCTTAGCAGAGATGACAATAATTGAATGGAGCCAAGGAAGACAAATGGAAATCCAGCAGACAGAGAGGGAAGAGATGAACAGACGAGGCAGTGAGAAGAGACCATTTGAGGGCATGGACATTGGAGAGCGCCATCGGCTTTGGGAACACCAGGTGAGGTGCCTCTGGGCATGTGGCAGGAAGTCAGGCCAGAAAGGTAGGCAGGGGCCGGGCTGAATGCCAATCTAAAGAATGCCAGCCCCAGCTTCCAAACTTTAGCCACAGAAATATTTACACAGTCTCCCTGAAACACAAGTAAAACAGACAACAGCCCAGCAGGTCTGGTTGGGAGTAGGGAGAACAGAGACTCGCTTGTTCAGCTGCTCCTGGATCTAATATGCCCTCACCTCTCAAGCACTTGATGTGAGGAGGGAAGGGCTTCAGAGGAACCCCCGAGGATTCTGAGGGGTAATTTGAAAAACACTGCTGTGGTAATATGGGAAGAAGTGGCTGATATTAAAAATAAGGGGGAATATGCTCAGGGAGACCAGTGGTTTAAATAGGAAAGTAGTAGGAGGGTTTTGAACATAGTAGAAGAGAAGAAACACAGTCATAGATGAAGAGAGAGATCAAGCCTGGGCTGGGACAATGGGTAAGGACGGAAAGGACATGAGAGATTCAAGAACACATTAGAGCTCTTAATAGGTGGAATCCACATTAATTAGAGACTTGTACAGGGGACCTACTAGAGAGAGAATCATGGGAAAAAACCAAAGGGCTTTGGGGACCGTGTCCATGGATTGAAGTGATTGGTGCCACAAGCTTCATTATAACAGAGGGAAATGCAGGCAGGACAGAGCTGAAAGCATAACCCATCTTCTGAACTTCCAGGCCTTGTGGGAAAAAATGAGTAGCTACTGATTATCCTGATTTAGAAATTAACTTTATTATACCACTGGGGTGGAAAAAGGCCGGAGCCAAGCGCTGACAGGGCTGGGGCGGGCTGGTCTGTGCATGCGTTGCTGGAGGCACTGTAATTTGGAACAGTGTTTTTGGAATGCGATTTGCATACCATCGAGCGATTAAAATGTTCAAGCCATGTGAATTAGTAATTCTACATGTGGGGCTTTGCCCTAAGGAAATAGTTCAAAAGAAGAAATAGCCTGTGCCCATTCATCCAAATGTCAAATAATTAACTAAACAATTAATTAGAAAAATGCATGTGCTCTGTACAGTCCAGGAACTCTGTTAGGCAAATGAATATGTTCTGTGTGTAGCAATGTTAAAATAGTCAAGCACAGTAAATCAATCTAAATTATTCAAATACCTCACTGGTTTAATATGCTCTGAGATATCCTGTGATAGACTGATGCTTATTTAAAATCACCTGCTTGCTGCTGTGGTGAAGCGCACATTCTCTTGCATATACTGCCTGTATTGAGTTCTGACTGTACCTTGCCCTGGCCTCTGACCTTAGCAAGTTCATCAGTGCCTCTAAGGCTCAGTATCTTTCACAGTAAGGTGGGCATAACAATTAATACCACTTCCTAGGATTGCTGTCAAGATTAAATGAGAAAAGATATGCAAAGTGCTGAACGCCATTCCCAGCACACTCAATAAAAGTGACTTGTTACTTTAAATGCGTAAACATGTGTGTCCATAGAAAAAGACGGACAGAGACTACCCCAGTTTCCAGCCCCAGGAAATATTGTGGGCGACTGGTTTCCTCTATTTTGTTTAGTATCATTTCCCTAATGCCTTTGAGGTCATAGGCAACACAGAAATTCAAGAAATAGGCGAAGCACTTTGACCTGTCAGTTCATCCAACGGGAGTCAAAATAATGGGCAGGTGCTGTTTTTCTCTCCCAGCGGTGTTTGGCCAGCGTTTGGATGAGACCGTGGCATATGAGCAGAAATTCGGGCCCCACCTGGTGCCCATCCTTGTGGAGAAGTGTGCGGAGTTCATCCTGGAACATGGCCTGAACGAAGAGGGCATCTTCCGGCTGCCTGGGCAGGACAACCTGGTGAAGCAGCTCAGAGATGCTTTCGATGCGGGGGAGAGGCCCTCCTTTGACAGGTACGCTGCCTTCACCTCACCCTTCCTTCTGCCTTCACTTGCGTAAGAAGATTCTCTCTTCCAGTGGAGCTGTGGGACTCACACAGACACTGCCAAGAGCCCTGGCTTGCAACAGAAAAAGCCTTTGTTTTGCTCAAAGTTTAGGATGTAGGAGCCTGGGGCACAGTTAGGAGACATGGTGATCAATTACCTGAGAGAGAGGTGAGCTCCACGGAGAGCCTGCTGGGCAGATACGGGGAGGGGAGTATGGGGCAGGGGAAAGATGGGTTCTAGTTCCAGGCCCAGCCTTCAGGGCAGATAAGGAACTTCGGGGCTGAGTTGACTGTACAACAGACTGGGTGTGGTGGAGGACACACCATGTCTAGACCTAAGGGCTGTGAAGGTCTCCCTAGGCTTTCCTGAGCGGCCAGAACCAGCCCTTGTTAATGCAGGAGAGCACAGGACTTTCCAATTCTGAACTTGGTTCTGAGCCCTTCTGGAGGGAGTACATACCAACAGGTTGGCTGCCTGGTGTTTTCCCAATGGATATTGCCCAGCCCTGTTTGGGGCATTTCGGGTGCAGGGTCATTTCTCCTCAACATTCCCTTCCCTCCCCACCTCCTCCAGCCTCCCAGCCAAGGCTTTCTTGTCTGCCATGCGCAGCTAGTACAACCACCATCCTACATTGCACGCGCTCTGCTTATTGTGCAACATTTGCCTTGGTTGCCTGCATGCACTTGCCTTGCTGGCAAGAAAAAGTCATTATTCTTTCCAAATCGGCAGCCCATAAACTAAGATTTAGCAAGTCAGGCCTGAGTGCTATCCAGTTTCCAAAGGTTGAAATTCTTCACAAGCTTTTTGAGAACTGAGGAGCAGGGCTGATCCTGGCAAAAGGTGAATAGCTGGGTGTCACGCAATGTGGACAGTCTCACTGCTCACCTCTCTCTCTCCCCCCTCACTCCAGTCCCTAACATTTCCATTCTGCCTCCGAAGCATCTCTAACACCCATCCGTTTCCCTCCTCATGGCCACTGTCTTAGTTTGGACCACCATAGGCTTATCTTTGCTGCCCTTGGCACATAACAGGTTAATGTAGCAAGGGTGCTGTATTTTCACAGGAAAGCAATGGGTGGAGTTGTTACTGGAACTATACCAGGTTATGGGCATGGAATTTAAGGACCTTTTAGCATCACCGTAAACTGATTTTCATTACCAAGCACTTGTTCAATTAAGCTTGCCACCTTTATATTCACTTTTCTTATGTTTTTAATTAGCTTTGAGTTGATCAAAAGATGCAGGTGGGTTGTTGCAAAAGCAATGTGAAGTCAGCCAGCAGGCATAGAGGTGATTTCAGGGGGTTGCCAAATACCCGCCCTAGCCTCGAGCTCCTGCGTCTATAAAATCAGCATGGGTGGCAGAGTCAGAGTCTTTGATTCTTCTGAAATATTTGGATCTGAAAGAAGGAAAGTTATTACACATCTCTGCTGCCAGAACTGAGGAGTTCCCACAGCCAAATATAGGAAGGGCCCTTCGGGTCCTCCCAGAACTGGTTCTTTGGGCTCACATGACCTTTGTGGATACTCATCTAGACCTCCCTACATCGGTCACATGTGCAGTTTCACTGTGAGTTTCCCAGATTGCCTCACTAGATGAAGGAAATCAAAGGAACTCTATTGGCAGATTCCAGTACAGGTGTGTCAGGCTCTCATTCAAGATAAAACTATGAATTTGAAAATTTCTTTGTCTATCCTCTACTAGGCTGGCTACTGCCTGCTCACAGAGCCAGTGCACTTCCAGGACCTCTCATCTCTGGGAGGAATGCACAAAGACAGTCTGCATTATAAGATCAGTGCTTCAAAGGAAGGTGGGCAGAGCTATCTGGGAGCCCTGGCTAAATCTCTGTGGGACCAGGGCTTGAACTCAGAAACCACCTGGCTCCTGACTTGCTTGTAGTCTTTGATTTAAAATTTAAGAATGTTCCACTGGGTTGGAGGAACAGCAAAATCAGGAAGTATCATGCAGGAAATTTAGACTATAACCATGACATCCGATCAGCCCTATCCCAATGGGGCACAGACATGAAACCAAAAATTTACAGAAGTAACTATAATTTTCATTGTATTAAGTGCTAAAAAATGAAAAAGAGATGGTACTGTGAGAATTTAGAACAGGGGTTTTTGACATGGTCTGGTGGATTTAGGAAGGTCCCCAAGAAAATGACATTTAAGCCCAGACACAGTAAAGAAGCATGAGGAGTTAGCCAGATGATGCATTCGTATTTTCCCCTGGTAAAATGAATGGGCAGCTTCCTGTGCATTCCAGTGTCCTAGGATGATTTGCATTGCTAACTGTGTTCTTTGATTACAACTTTGAGGTGTCTATATTGTATCTGTGGTTTATAACCCCTTTCTCGTCTAATGTTGGCTATTAAATGTTGTCTTTGTTTCTCCTGACTAACCCATCTGGTAGTTTTTATTATTATTTCTCTTCAAAAGATTTTGTTTCCTTGATATATCCTCTATGCTTTTTTTCTCATTTCAAATTCTTTGTTTTCTACATTGTTTTTGTGGGTGTGTTTTGAGCGCTGGGTGCTGTGTCAGGCTGGGGACAGTGCACTGGAGAATGGAACCCTGCAGGCAGGAGGCTAGATTAGGAGGCTGAGCAGTCCTGGCAGGGAGTGGGGGCAGGGAGAATCCTCCTTTTGAAAAGTAGAGTGGAAGGAGGAGAGGGACTTGGAGATATTCATGTGACATTTGGATAGTAGAATTGAGGGGACCTGGGATACTAATTGGATGTGGGGTGAGAGAGACCCCAATCGAACCGTAGACCCTGGATTCTGATTAAGACCTGGGTGGACGGTGACATTAGGAGAATGTTACTCCTGCAAGGTGGGCACTGGTGGATTTTCTGACAGTTTCTTGGGAACTTCTTGTATATTTTGCCAAGAGGGCTTTGCCTGGGGATAATTTAGGCAATGACTCAGCAGGGAAGTCTCTTCCTGAATCCCCACCCCCTGACTTCCTGAGGGCCACCATGGAGCCTAGATAGCAGTCTGGTCTGTGCAGGCTGAGGTGCAGAGTTCACAGGCGGCAAAGGGGAGCCTCCAGCCACTGGCTGTCAAAAACAAGTGTTAAAAAATGTGCACACAACGCCAAGACAGAGCTTTCCAGTCAAGTCCTGGCATTCTCGCTTCTGCTGCCACCAAGGCCTCGCTTCTCCTCCTCCTGTCCAATCCACCCCTCCTGTCTCTCACCGGGATGTATTCCACCCAGCAGATTCTATATTCCCAATCGCTGGCTAAAGGAGACCCTCAGGTTATCTGAGCCTCTTCCCACATCACAACTTTCTAAACCCTATCAGGGCTATCTCTTAAGAACATCAGTTCTTCTTGATATGAAATAAATCAATATTTCTTTACTAATGATGTTCTAGTATATGGTAGATTCAGATTTACGGTATTTTCTCTATGGAATAAATGCAACAGCTCTATAAACCAGGAGTCAGCAGACGTTTTTAAAGGGCCACCTTTGAAATATTTATGTGTTGTGGGCTAGATGGTCTCTGTGGCAGCTTCTCAACTCTGCTCTTATCTCAACTCTGCCAAAGACTATACAAAAATGAATGAGCATAGCAGTGTTCCTATAGCATTTTATTTTTGGAAGCTGAAATAAAAATTTATGTCATTTTCACATGCCATGAAATATCCTTCTCTTGAATTATTTCTCCAACCATTAAAATATGTAAAATCCATTCTTAGCTAGCTGGCTGTACAAATATAGACTCTGGGATCATGCTATGTCAACTCCTGCTGTTAACCCGAGAAGCTGAGCTGAAGAGCCTATGTCTCTTTCTGCTAATCAGGTGATCAAATCAATGTTGTCTCAGTTCCTGCAGCAGGCCTCCTCCCTCCCCCTCCAGGCTGATCCACATGCTGCCTGCCCCACGCTGTAACTCCTGATCACTCTACAGATCTTGACTGAAGAGTCCCTTGTGACTTCCCAACTCTGCATTAAGTCCCTTTCAACATTTCCATACGACCCCAGGTTCAGGACTTCCCTTGTCTTGGTACTAACCATATGGTATTGTAATGACTTGGTAACATTTAAGCTTGCACACCTCTGTGGTTCAGTGAAGTGAGGTCTCCTGTGTGTCCCTTTGATTCACTGCTGAAAGCCTAGTGCCTGACATAGTATCTTGCTCCAAATAGTTTCTTTCAAAGCTTGTTGGTTGAATGAATGATTGCATAAATATATAAAGATCACAGAATTAATTTAAGATTTAATTTAAGATTAAATTAAAGATTGCAGAATTAATTTAAGATTCTGGGGGGTCAAATAGATCAATGGACCATGGATATAAAGCAGTTATCACATGAAAAATGAGACACTAAGTACAGAATGCTAAATTGTGAGATGCTAAGGGACTTGGAGAAAAAAAGAAAGCAATGAAGATTAAACTGTTGAAGTTTAATGAAAAAGTAGACCTTGAACTTTCCTTTGAGGCAGTTAGGCAGAATAGATAAAGGAAAAGGTGTTAGGGGGATTATTCCATAAAAGGAATTAGCAAAAATGTTTTGGTCAATACACCTTTATCAGACTCTACTCTTCTGCAAAGCTTCCCTTCGGACTCTGGATTCTATTCAGTGGCTCACCAGGGGGGAGCTGAGGAGACTTCTGGAGTTTTGCTTTCAAAGGGTGTTGCTCATTTTCTTCCAGAGATACAGATGTGCACACGGTGGCCTCCCTACTAAAGCTCTACCTCCGGGACCTCCCAGAACCTGTGGTTCCCTGGAGCCAGTATGAGGGATTCCTGCTCTGTGGGCAACTCATGAATGCGGATGAGGCAAAGGTTGGTATCTCATTAGAGTTAGGTGTCCTGCTTGGAAAGAAGGTGATGGTTACTGAACACTATTCTGGTTAGGCAGGGAACAATGTGTCAGGAAGTCCATACCCGTTGGTGAGATAATTTGTCCACGAGGAACATCCTTGGCAAGCAAAGGCAAATGAAGCCAATCATGGTGACAGCCTTCATGGGATGTAACAATCCAGTCAAGAACTGGCCCTTAATCAAATACCCCAAAGTCACTTTAAAGTTAGTAAGAGAGGGAGGATGCAGTTGAGAAGGGTTTCTTGTTGAGACCCATTGGGACACAAGGTCAAGCTGTCCTACTTGGAAAGCAGGTGAGAGGTCTGACTAGACTAGCTCCACGATGACCACAAGTGTCAGACATGGGCATACAAAGAATGCACGTGCCAGAGAGAGGAAGGATGGAGCTTTTCTTATTCCTTCCAGCTTCAGCTGCCTGGGGTCTGTGGCTCACTGGGATAATTTCTTTTCTCAGAGATTTTTTTGTGTGTGCCTTTCAATAGCTTTTTATTTTGAAATAACTGTAAATTCACAAAATGTTGCAAAAAAATAGTATGGAGAGGCTCATTATTTACTTATTTTTGTAGTGTTACTTTTTTATTTGTTTGTTCTTCTTCCAAGAACCTGAGGCAAGGAATATCAACAACTCATACCCCCAGTAATTGCTTAATGAATGCTCGAGATGTAACACTCCGATAGCACTGCCAAAGTGTTGCTTCTACACAGACGCACCAATTATGTTCCAAGGTCTCATTGCTGGCAAGTGAGCAGGCTCATTTACTGGTATTAAAAATGTCTTTCCAGGCTCAGCAGGAGTTGATGAAGCAGCTCTCCACCCTTCCTCAAGACAACTACAGCCTCTTGAGCTACATCTGCAGGTAGGAATCCCCTGGTATTAGCTACACAGTTTCTAGCCTAGAGGGTGAGCAGTGAAGGGGGCCTCATGTATGGTGATGCAAGATGATCTGACTGTGGGTGATAGGTACACAGTGCAATATGCAGATCTTGTATCATAGAAATCCACACCTGAAATCTATATGATCCTATTAACCAATGTCACACCAATAAATTTAAGAATAAGAATATAAGCAAATTCCTGGATGGAGAAGGAAAAAGTGTCTCCTTGAACTCAGAGACTCTAGTTCAGATCTTTGGAAGGTCAACTCTATTTACATAGCTCCAAAGTACATTCCTGTGTCCACAAGATAATTTAAAGGACCCCCTGAAAATTTGATCAGCATACAAAATGTTCATGCTTCCTCCTCAAGCTTTCCTCAGCACTGCTTAAGAGTCTTGGGGCATGCAGTAGAACCAAAATCTTTATAATGGGTTCTAGAATTATCTCCAATCATCCTGACTTAGTGCCCCAGAGGCATATATTCCAGTTCCCCTTTATGAGGACCTGCTGTGTGTCTTCTCAGTGGCTGCTGAGTTGGGAGCCTGGATCTCCTGCCAAGCAGAGCTGAAATTTATCTTAAATTTAAAACATCATTTTTTTTAGTTTCCAGATTATAAAAAGTGATGCATGCTTGATTTGGAAACCAGGAAAATGCAACATACTGTAAAGAAGAAATAAAAATTACCCACAATCTTCTTACCCAGTAAAAATTACTATTAAGACCTGAGTGTTTTTCCTTCTGGATGTTTTTGTCTCTGTGATTGATTTTTACATTCATCAATATAAATTTACCAGAACAATTTTTACCAAATTGAAATTACATACAGGTATTTGTATTCTGCTTTCTTTTTTGGCTTCATGTTCCATTGTGAACACTTTTCTATGTCATAGAGTAGGATTTTAAATAACTTCATAATATGCCATAAGCTTTTCTCATTTGAACAGACCAGCATTTATTTGATAATTTTTCTGTTTCAAATTTTATGTTGCTCCAGCCTATCCATTTAAAAATGGTTTCCAGAAAAAGTAGAAATTCCTTTGTTGGCTGTTTAGTTTTCTTTAATTGTGATTCAGAAGTGCATGCCTCAATTGGGTAGAATTATAATAGAAATTAACTGTTAATTATTGAGCACCTGCTGAGAATTTGAGATACTTGGTGCTATAATTGGAGGATGAGACTGAGGAGGAACTGGGATTCCCACCTCTGAGATTTTCCTCTCTGGAGACTTGGGCATGATGGGTGCTGAGAGCCTGGGAGATAAATTTATAAAGGCAGGATAAGGAGCAGTCAAATGCCCGTTTTGGTCCTTCTAGTCTCCTCTTAGCTCCCTGAAATTGGATCCTGCCTTCTGCCAATGTGACTCCCCTCTCTGCTCCCAGACCAAGGCCACCACCTCAGCTGGGCAGGCCCCTCCTGCTTTCTGTTCTTCCTTCATCTTAAATCTTTGGGAATGAAGCTAAAGTCTTCTGGGAAGAGCAGGCTGACCCCATTTCTGAGATCAGAAGGAGAATTGGAATGTATCTCTGACATCTCGTTGGTACCCAGAAGTGCTTTCTTCTGGCATATTCTTATTTCTTATTCTGGGATTGCCTGTCTGTTCACAGGTTTCTACATGAAATCCAGCTGAACTGTGCTGTTAACAAGATGAGTGTGGATAACCTGGCTACCGTGATTGGTGTGAATCTTATCAGGTCGAAGGTAGAAGACCCTGCTGTGATTATGAGGGGTAAGTTAGATACAGAGGAACTAACAGCAGTTATGACACTAGCCCTCATGTCTGTGCACTGATCTGCAATTTGCCATGAATTTTCAGCTGATTATTTTGCCTGAATTGTAAAATAGTCCTGTGAAGTAGGCAGGGCAGGAATTATGTCCATTCTTCAGGCCACAGTAGTGGTTAAAGATTTACCTAAAGGTCACACAGTACATACAATAGGCTGGCACAAAAACAGTTAGCTAATGTTTCTTAATCTTTTATTATGTTTAAATATCCTTAGCCAGAGAGAGTAAACAAGTTAATTTTATAAGCCAAGTTAAAAAAAAAAGAATACTTGTAAAGCTGTGTTGAAAAGGCTTCTGAGGCTGTGTCTTGGATCAATGAGCAAAATTTTTGCCATAGAGTATTGATGTCTGTCATAGATTTGTGGAGGCAATATGCCTGGCACATATTCACTGTGTGCAATAAAAATCACATGTCACATTGAAGACCACATTAGGAGAGACAGTAGTCTTAATTTTCTCTGCTGTTAGATTGCTAATTTTCTGTTTAAAGACTGAGCCAGTGGGGTGTAAACTGAAAATAACCATCTTTCACTCCAGTCCACATCTATGTTCTAGCCCATCCCTTTCACTACAATATCATACCCCAAGCAATTAAGAAGAGTCCTATGAGGAGCAAAATGAGGTCTTTTTGGTTGCTGTGGTTTTAGAGACACTTTTGGAGACATCCCATAGGTAGAGACCTTTGAGGACTACGCTGTGGTCCAGCACCACAAATCTCTTTCTTTTCTTTCAGGAACTCCCCAAATCCAGAGAGTGATGACCATGATGATCAGAGACCATGAAGTTCTCTTCCCCAAGTCCAAGGATGTACCCCTGTCACCCCCAGCTCCCAAAAATGACCCCAAGAAACCTCCAGTGCCTCGAAGCTCTGTGGGCTGGGATGCCTCTGAGGATGTCCCGATTTCTAGGACAGACAGCTTCAGTAACACGGTAAGGTGCAGAGAGCCTTCCTCCTTCCATAGGACTCTTCCTCTAATCCAGGTCATTCCATGTAAGAGCTGCTGTGGGTGGCAGTTTGAGGAGTTTTTTTGATGATGCTGTGGCTATGGGTACAGCTGGTACAGAATCATTTGAATGCATCTTTTATTTTCTTACTTATTTATTTGTTTGTTTGTTTGTTTGTTTATTTTTATTGTCTAAAGTTTTACATATGTCTCCTTTTCCCCAATTGACCTCCTCCCCCAGAGCCATTCCCACCCCGGGCATCTTGAAAGCTTGGCCTCTTTCAAAGTCTAGTCTCTGATTATATCCTGGAGGTGGGATTAGTGATGTGTGTGCGCCAAAGACTGAGCAATGGAACTCTTCACTGAAGCACACTCCAAAGGGAAACACTTTGAAACACGGTCCAGAGAAGTTCAATGGGAAAAAAGATACACCACCTTGTAAATGTTTCAGTGAGGGTTATTGAAAATTCTGGGTCAAAATCCAGAGAGAACTGGTTTCCTGCTAATCCATGAAACGTGATTTCTTTCTCAGAGCATGTGATGTGTTCGTGTAATATATCCCATTCTCTGATAAACTGTCTCAGCAATGTCAACCCCCTCATTTGTACTGAGGGCTTGGGGCTCACGTTCTCAATGTCAGAAAACTCTGCAGACTCTGAAATCTAGACTGTTTGGGGGCAACAACTTACAAAGGTCAAATATGTTTTATATATTTATAAAACAAGTTTTTTTTTTTTAAATAAAAGAACATGTGAACTTTATGTAGCAGCCTGATTTGTTATGTGTGACCAAGAAATGAATTGAAAATTTTAGGTTGACCTGGTAATGTAAGTTGCCTGTAGTACTTTTAATCTTGAGGATGATTAAGAAAGGATTGGGAGAAAAAGTAGGTAGTGGTTGGTGATGATGTTTCTTAGTAAAATCTGGACACACTGCATCTTACTAACATTCAAAAATTAAATTAATATTTAGAAATGTTCATATCTTGTACAGTGGCATCATCCTAGAAGTGCTTCAGATTAGCCATTGCTATGCTCCTTTGACAGGTTTATTCTTTTAATGGTAACAGTGTGGGCAGTTCTGGGCAGGCACTTTGCTGAGAAATATAAACAGATCAGATGTGGACTCCTCACTGTAACTCTATTGGTCAGAATTTATCATGCACATTTTATGTTTCAGGACTTCAGTCTCAGGGAGGTTGACCAGGTGGCCCAAGGTGACAGCACTAGAATGTTACAGAATAAGATTTTGATCTAGTTCTCACCTCAAAGCTCCAGATGAGGTTGCTGAAGCACTTGATTAGCAGAAGAGTTAGAAGAAGAGTCTCAGCCCTTAGTTTCAGATTTGATGTTTATGACTATTCTGCGTGTGTGTGTGTGTGTGTGTGTCTTTCTCTTTCTTTTTCCTTTCTAATTTAATTGAAAAAAATAAAAAGGAAGAAAAAGTGCTACATTGAGAAGTCCTGATCCCTCTTCTACCTCCACCCACTCCATCCTTCCCTTCCTTTATTAGTTTCTTATTTATCTTTCCAGTGTTCCTTTATGCAAATTTAAGAAGATATGAATGTAAATTATTATTCATCTCCATATTACCCAAAATATTCTCTTTACACACACACACACACACACACACACACACACACACACTTCACTTTGTATCTTGAATTTTTCCACTTAACAATAAATACTGTAGACCTTTTCATGTTAATACATAGACGGCTACCTCATATGACCTTATGTTTTTGCAAGAATATAGTGTTTCACTCTTGTATCATAATCTATAATATTGATACTTAACCAGCCCTTACAGATAAACAGATGATTTTCATGCCTTTCTACTTCAAATAAGGCTACAATGAATAACCTTGACTATACTTCATTTTGTATCTAGGGCTATATTTTATATTTTTGGGATAAATTACCAGAACTGGGGTTGCTGACTCAGAAGTTACATAGATTTGTAATGTGTAATTTTGATTAAAATTATCAAATGAAGTTTGTGCCATTTTGTACTTCTACCAGTAATGTATAAAATAATCTGTTTCCTTAGCAGAGGTGTACTGTCAAAATTGGGGCTCTTTTGTGATGGGGGTCCTTTTGATTGGTGAGAGCTGATATGTTAGGAATTTTAATTTGAGTTTTCCTATTATGAGAGAGTCCAAATATCTTTTCTTCTATGTAAAGGCCAACTGCATTTTCCTCTGTGAGCTCTTTGCCTTATTCTTTTCCCATTAGCTATTGTTCTTTTTCTTTTCAATTGATTATTGGTCTTTTTCTTCTCCCCTTAGATAGTAGGGAGAGAGCCTGTTGTCAGTGATATGCCTTGCAAATATTCTTGCCAGTTTGTCATTTGTTATTTGATTTAGCATGTGGCGATTTCTTTGTTTTAATTTTATTCTTTTAAGTTTGGGGGCTCTTGCCATGTAGGTTGAATTTATCAAATGTTTCTTTTATGGATTTTGGATTTTGAGTCCTAGTTAGAAAAGCCTTCCCATTCTAAAGTTATAAAAGAATCCCGGTTTAGAACACTTTTACCTCAAACATATAATACTTTTAATCAGTGCATCACCTTTAGAATATGAGTTCCTTCAAGTACCATGTCCTTCCAGAAAAAAAAAAATGTCAGTCAGATAATCAACTAGTGTGACCAATGAACAGATGGTCTTCTAATGAAGAGCTTCATAGGTGTGCTGCCCAGAGATGCTTTCTTTCAAGCCTCTAATTTTTTTTCTTGTGAACATGACACAAGTGGGAAAAACCCATGTAACTTTCATGACATTTTTTTTTTCCCCTAGGCCAGCGACTCAGAAGTAACCAGCCCCACTGAACAACAGCCAAGTGACATGTTTTTGGAACACAGCGGCAAAACTCTCAGGGAAAAGCCAGGGGATTGGAAGCTGCAATCACGAAAAAGGACTCAGACCCTCCCTAATCGGAAATGTTTCTTAACAGCAGCTTTTCAAGGTGCCAACAGCAGCAAGATGGAGATCTTCAAAAATGAGTTCTGGTCATCTTCTTCAGAGGTGAAGGCAGGGGAGGGGCATAGGAGAACACTGTCTCAAGGTGTGCCGAACTTTTCTGATGCTCAGAGGACTTCCACCTATGATAACATCCCTACCCTGCCGGGGTCTCCTGGGGATGAAGCAGGGGCACTCTCTTTCCATGCCTGCGACTCCAAGAGAGATACTCTTTCGAGCCCAAACTCTGAAACCGGGCCTGGGACAAAGAACTCTGGAGAAGAGGGACTGGAGTCTTTGCAAAGGACAGTCCAGGAGCTGCGAAAGGAAATAGAAACACAGAAACAAGCCTTTGAGGAACAGATTAAAAGGTAAGTCACATACAGAGGGAAACCACTCAGCTTCCATCTTAAGAAGCAGTAGGGGCTGAAACCGGTTTGGCTCAGTGGATAGAGCAGACTGAAGGATCCCAGGTTCGATTCTAGTCAAGGGCATGTACCTGGGTTACGGGCACATATATGAAGCAATAGGGATTGTTCTCATCTGCCAAAGAAGTGACATTATAAACCTTCAGTTTGGAGAATACAGTAATTTATAGTAGTTAGGCCTGAAAAGAAAAAAGGGTAAAAGCAGTGATGAGTGACTACTCTGAACTTCAAATTAAATTCATGAAAAATTATGTAGCTTAATCAACTATTTCTAAATAGCAATTCTTTAAGGATCAACATGCTTAATAAATTAAGAGGAACTTAAAACTTTTTTCACATTAGTGTGATTTATTTATTCTGAAAATATTCACTGAGTAACTATTGTGCTCCAGGTGACATCCAGCTATTAGGGAATAGCACTGAACAAAACAGACAAAAATTCCTGTGCTAATAGAGATTTCCTTCTAGTGAGCACAGGCAGACAATACAAACATAATGAAAAAATAATGAAAATATATGCTATGCCCAATGGTAGAAAATGTCATGAAGAGAAATAAATCAGGGCAGGAGGTTGGGGGATTCCAGAAGGGGGATCCAATGTTAAATAGAGTTGTCAAGAAGGCCTCACTGAGAAGGTGGCATTAAATCAAAAGCCTGAAGGAGAAGAGGGAACAAGTCAGGTCTACATATGAGAGAAGAGCAGGCCAGGCAGAGAGACCAAAGGTGCAGAGGCCAAAGGAAGGAAGCAGGTCTAGGTGTTCAAGCACCAGAGCAGTGGAGGGCTAGAGTGGGAGGAAGTCATTGAGAGGAGAGAGGGCAGAAAAATGGAGGCCAGAGCATAAATCAGTCATTGGTAGAACAAAAAAGCCTCATTTGATGCCTTGGCAGTGACTCCCACTGTACTTTAACATGGATGTAATTGACAGGGTAGAGAAAGAACTGTCTGCCATGGAGGCGGCCACTTCTCCTGAATGGAACAGTTTTCTGAATCCACCATCAGGGGCCTCCCATCTTTGGTGGAGGGAGAAGAAACAGTCCAAAGTGTCTAAGCTTCATGATTCAGATACATCTTTTCATGTAACCCCACAGCAATCTTTTGAACTAGGTAATAGCCCCACTTTACAGAAGAAATAGGGACTCAGGAAGGACAGAAAAATTCTTGAAGGTCTCACAACTAATTATCGGTGGGGCTGGAATTTGAACCTACTTCAACCAGCTCCCAAGCCCACTCAGATCTTACCTCTCCACTGAAATCACTGGTCAAGATGTAGCATAATGTCTCATTTGAGATGTCTCTCGAAACAAGAGGTATATGGAGAATTTGGAGAAGAAAACGAGCTTTGTGATGGAAGGACCAGAAGGAATGAGACTAATTTAATTTTAAGAAGCAATAGGGAGTGGTAGACAAGGGGCATTACTTGCAGAATGGGGCAAAGCCCTGGAAGACAGAAGTCAGGCATGGGCTCAAATGGGAGCTTGTCTCCATGTAAAATTATCGGGCATTTGGGGGGTGAGGGGTGGGGGACAGGGAGGCAGCATCTCTCAGAATGAAATTCTGAAGCAAATTTCCAATCACACAATCTTCCCACAAGCCTGAAATCTCCTCCTTTGGCTGAGAAACAGCATATGTATTCTCATTCCTGAAAGTTAATTCAGCATAGCCAGGCAGGGGGCCACCTGGGACTAGATTAGGGATTTCGGCCAGTAATAGTGAAAAGCCTGTGAATTCAGGAATCCAACACATTCTTCACCTGGAGCAGGATTCATAAGTGAGGGTGGCATTGCCAAGACTGCTGTTCCAAAGGGGAGTTTCCTGGACTTCTCCAAATCTTGATTCCTAGGAGGCCTTACTAAGAGAAGGCGCTGGTCCATACTCACCATTGAAGCAGGATGAGAAGGCTCTTACATGTACAGAGGTGTTGGGAATGGGATCTGTGGAACATGGGTGGGGGCTTCAGTAGTCAATCTGTATTTCTGTTGAGCAGGTCTAATGCAAGGTGCTGGGACAAGGGGGTATTGAAATAAATATAATCAGATGTAGTCCCTTCTTTTAAAGACTATTATCAGGTGGAAGATAGAAAACATAAAATGAGATGAACAACAAATACAAGAGATGTCACAAGATGTGTTAAATGACAAAACAGGCTCCGACATGCTGTGGGAATTCAGTTTCCTAGGAAATACTCATGTGGGGGTTGGGACGTAAATAAGTGGTACAGGTTGGATATAGGTCTAGTGATGTGGAAAGAGGAAAATGGACAGAGGAGGATGTGAGAAGGGGGAGTCTAGAGGTAATACTCAATTCTTTCATTCATTTCTTTCCTTCCTTGTAGCCTTGAGAAGGAAAATTATGATGTCTGGGCTAAGGTGGTGAGGCTCAATGAAGAACTGGAGAAGGAAAAGAAGAAATCTGCAGCCTTGGAGATCAGCCTCCGCAACGTGGAGCGCTCCCGGGAGGATGTTGAGAGGAGGAACAAGACCTTGGAAGAAGAAGTCAAGGAATTTGTCAAATCGATGAAGGAGCCTAAGGCTGATGAATGAGAATCCCCGGAGTACAGGGGAAGCAGCCCACAGAGGCCCAACACTGCTCCCTTTTTCCTTGCTATGTGACAGCTGGGAAGCAAAATTACTTCCTAAGATGAGAGGACATTTGGGAGGAAAACATCACATTTCCCAGTAAATAAATCAGTGGAATTTGCAGGAAGATAAGGGCGAGCAGGGACATACGTCCATGACCGCCTGTGGCTGTATTCAAAAGGATTGCATTATTCCACTGTGGTCTCAGGCTGAGTGACTTGGAACTTTCTATGGCTGGATGGCTATGTCCGATGGAGACGTTTGAGCAAGGCCGCATCTCAGGACCCAGGGAACAGGCTGTCCCCAATTGAAGCTGGGTTAAGGTTTAGTTCTTTGTTGTCTAGGTGTGGACCAACTCACCTCGTCACATGGACTCGGGGCATCTCTGAGACAGAAAGGCTGAAATTGATCTTCAGCTTCTGAGTGCTCACCATGGTTTTGAGGGGCTGCCCTTGCTAAAGCGAGAGCCCCATGCAACACTCCCCAATGATGCACCATCTCCAGGAGCTGGAAACTGAAAATTATTAGTAGACTAAGAAAATGAGCGATAAACTGTATTTATGAAAGCAACATAGATGAGAAAATTATATTCAAATATAGCAAAAACAATAAATAAATAAAAGCAGGGCTATTGATTCATACACCTTTGTGAGAGTTAGTAAAAGTCCCTCTTCCCTGAGGCAGAGGCACCGATCCACCAGTACATGGCTTGGCGAGTGGAACACAGATTGGATTCCATCCTTACTTGTCTTTCTGTGGCCACAGTTGCACAGGGCAGACATGCTCTGATGTAACTTCCTTTGAGGATGGTTGGGAGTTTAGATAGTGACAGTCATAATAATATTTTTTTCTGTTTCACTAAAATACAAGTGATTTCACACTTTAAAAAGGGGACATGAGGCCCTAGACCTTTCTAGACAGCTGATTTTTTCTTTAAGCCAACCTGGCAGAGGCCTCTGGTGAGGTTCCAGGCCTTGCCAGGTAGGATGGAGGAGTCGTTAATGGTTTTCTAGCAAGGTGGCCTCCAAGCTATTTTGACCATGTACCCCATTAGTAGAAAATATTTGAGCATTCACCACCCCTGATATAGGAATATTTATTTATTTATAAATTACATAATACATGTCACTATGTCATATTATGAAACATAAACAGAAATTTGATAATCAGATTAAAAAATGAATATAAATATATAATATAAATAGATGTTCTCAAATATGCTTTCAGCTCTGGAGACCATTGGCTTGATTTCCCTGCAGGAATTATCTGCACGAGCTTCATATGTCATCCCATTGCTCCCATAAATTCACTTGAACTCTTGAAGCTAAGTGGCTTAATCAGTGACTTGAAATCTATAGTTACCACAGTGACAGTTCAGCCTTCCCCAGCATCTGTGTCTCCTCCATTTTTTATTTTCTCCCTTTGTTTTTTTACTTTTCTCCTCTCTCTGTGTTCTTCATCCTGGTTAGTGTCTTCCTGTCTGTGGCCATGACCTATTATTCAGAGAGAAAGGTACAGATAGGGGTAGGAGGACAGTGTTTCTCCATCCTGTTACTCAGGTCCTGCTCCACCCACCCCAGCCACCTGAGGACCAGACTGATGGAGAGTGTGAACAGCACCTAGGACATGCTCTCAGAGGCTTGCTTGTGGAAGGTTGGGATGTGGAGAAAGGATTTAGAACATACTAAAGCAATAAAAAATTTTGTTTCCTGGCATTTGCTCCTTTTAAATTACAGAGTAGCAAACATGGAAATACTCACTGAACACCGAATTTACATTGATGAGTGTGTGCAGTTCTGCCAGACATATGTTCCCTCCCATGTTCTCCCATGAGTTCCTCACACTGATTCTTTGGGTGCTAAAACCTTGAGTAAGGAAGTAGCTGGCAGTGCAGTTTCTAAGGGAGCAAACATTTGTGTGAAGGTGCAAAGAGGTCCATGTTTGGAGGTCCATGTGACAGGGCCAAGCTGGGTCTTAAAGTGAGAGCTCAGGCTGAGCGCAAGGGCCATGTTTGGATCCCAACTCCCTCCTGGTCTCGCGATGCCTCTGTCCTACCTTGTCCAACAATACAATGAGACAACTGAACTGCCATTCCAACTTCAGAAGCTGGAGCGTCACTTCCTCTTCATGATCATGAGGAAACTCTGCTTGCTTAAGCTGCCACAACTTGGTCCTTTGCCAACTTCCATAAAAGGGAAGCAACAAGCCCTGACTGGTTTGGCTCAATGGATGGAGCATTGGCCTGCAGACTGAAGGGTACCAGGTTTGATTCTCGTCAAGGGGATGTACCTTGGTTGCCGGCTCATCCCCAGTAGTAAGTGTGCAGAAGATAGCTGATCAATATCTCATCGATGTTTCTTGCTCTCTACCTCCTCCCTTCCTCTCTGTAAAAAAATGAATAAATAAAAATCAATAAAATACATAAAAAGCAGGGTTGGGGGAAGCACAAGGAAGAGTCTACCAGGGACTCTAGGACCTCATGAGTACAAGGAAAGGCAAGGAAAGCTCTGGGGTCCGGTGCTACTGTCTTCAATGCCCTGAAAAAGTGCACATAAGATGCATGACAAGGTGGCTTCACCTGGACCAAGGTGCTAGTTTCTAGAAAGTGGAACTCAAAGACTGACCTGAGTCATCAGTGCTCTTTTGGATCCTGGGGCTCCCACCTTCACTTTCAAAGCCCTTCTTTGGGCAATATCTACTCATTCTGCCTGTTTCCAGCCACCCACCGCCTTCACCTTACCACCTCTTCTATCTGCACAGAGACCTAGATCCTAAAAAGATCTTCAATCACGTTTTAAAACCCCTTACCTTTTTCCTAGCTAAATTCTTAATTTCTCTCACAACCTCAAGCATGCGTGTGCACTGGAGAGGATACATTGCATTAGGGGATTGCCTGGGATGTTCCTGCCTTGGTCCATTTGGGATGCTATAACAAAATACCCCAGAGGGGGCGGTATTTACTCGTCATATCAATAGTTCTGGAACCCGGATGTCTAAGATCAGGGCCAGATGAAGGCTCTCTTCCAAGTTGCAGGCTTTTCCTTGTATCTTCACATGGTGGAGGGGGTGGGGGGCTGGGGATCTCTGTGGGGGGTCTCATTTTATTTTATATTTTATTATTATTATTTTATTGTCTAAAGTTTTACATGTCTCCTTTTCCCCCAATTGACCCCCTCCCCCATCCCTTCCCAGCCGGGGCAAGCCCTGTGGGGGTCTCTTTTATGCCACTAATTCCATTCACCAGGGCTCCACTATTATGATTTATGTACTGTGCAAAGGCCCCCATCTCTTAATATCACCATCTTTGGGGCTTTGGAATTCTCTATTAGAATATGGGAGTGGGAGCAAACACTCAGACCATAGCTACCTTCCTATGGATTTTGGTCATTCTCTGAGGCCTGGAGAGATCTAGTGTGACATTGATAGTACCCAGCTTGTTGCAGAGAATGTGAGCAATAAGCATTTTTGTTGTTGTTTTGAGCATTTCCTTAAGCCCTGCTCAAAGGCCCACCCCTCAGAAAAGCATGAAGCAGGAGACTCAGAGGAAGCCGAAGGTCACCAAGCTGGGGGGATGGGCAAGCAGCATCAGAGCACAGCAGCCGTTGGCTGGGTTCCCCTGATTTAAGACAGGAGGATGTGCATGCACTGTCGTCATGTAAACTTCCACATTCCACCACTTCCTCTGCAGATGCCATCCGTGGTCAGGCCACGTGCTGGCTGGGAGCAGAGAGATCACTCAGAGGCTGCCCTGCAGTTCACACAGGCTGCCTTCACAAGACTCTCATGAAAGCCTTGATCCTGACGGAGAAGACTGGGTGGGGGGAAATTCAAGGATGAAGATCCAGCTGCCTCTCATTCCAGGGTCCGAGACTGGCACGTGGCCAGCATCAGTGAGAGCTGCTGAGTGACTTCCGACAAAGAATGCGCAGAGAACACCAGCACGAATGGGCAATGTCAACATCTCTTTTCTCTGAGGCTTGAAAACTATCAGAATAACAGCATTGGAAGATACCCTGAAACTTATCTAATCTAACCTGCTCCTTTAATGGCTAGGAAACTGAGGCCCAGAGACCTTCCCTTTGGTGCTCACACAGCAATCAGGTAGAAAATTCAGTTTGGATAATTTTTGAGGGCTCCTTTAACCCACCCTTCAGGGATTCTTGTGATTCTTGGCTTTTATCTAAGTGACATTTTCCCCTGATCATGATTTGAAACCCGCTGAACATCAGTTGCTGAGAGCTTCCAGAATGTAGAGTGGGCTTATCTCTTGGTCACAACAAAGATCCACCTTATGTGATGTCATTCTCACCTACTTCGCATTACTGGTGCTCTTCTAAGGCTGGTTTTAAGCTTTGGCTGCACAATGGAATCCCCTTCAGGAACTTTTAAAAACATTTTGATGCTCAGATCCCATCTCATGTCAATTGAACAAGAATCTTGGAACAGAGCGTGGAGCCCATGATTTTTTCTCTTAAAAAACTTCCCTGTAAATTTTAATGTGTAGACAGTATTATTAAACATGGTTTTACCAGTAAAACTACAGTGTTCGGCTCAAGTCAAGACTAATGATAATATTAAATCTACCTGCTCCCATTTTACATGTCTGATCAGCACAACTCAAGCCCTACTTGCTAGCTTATCATGCATTCACTCATTTAGGATAAGAGATGCTTAAGAGAGAGAAAGGAGAGTGATGTTATATACCCATTTGCAAATGGGGGAAATGGGGCCTGACAATGTTACCCAGGAATCTTAATATAACAGTAACTTAGTCAGGATCAAATCCATGGAATTTGAGAGCCGCTGACGTGGCTCACAGAACTCAGGCAACCCCTTTACTCACTAAATTACCATTTATTATGAAATAATGTAACTTAGGAAAGCCAGATGGAAGAGATGTAAAGCAAGATATGGGGAAAGCTTCTATGCTCTCCTGCCTCTCCGTGTATTCACCAACCCCCAAGCTCTCTGAATCCCACCCTATTGGGTTTTTTTTTTTTTTTGTTTTTTTTGTTTTTTTAAGGCTTCATTGCACAGGTATGCTGGATTAAATCACTGGCCACTGATTGTTGAGCTCAATCTCCAGCCCCTCTCCCTTCCCTGGTAAAGGACAAGGCCAAGGCCAAGGTATGGACCACTGAATTGGCCCTAGTGATTTCTATCTTCTTTCCCATTTAAATTGTTATTTTTATTTTTCACCTAGTGTAATTTAAGTCATATAATGTAAATGCATGTGTGAAATTAAGTCACTATTGTTTTAATACGAATAATCGCTAACATTTATTGGGTGCTGCCTATTGCCTGTCAGATTGTTCTAGGTGCTTTATTTGTATTGACTGAGTTAATCCTCACTAACCCCAGAGCTAGATAGCAGTATCCCCGTCTTAACAGCGGAGTGCCTGGCTTCTGCTGTTGCTCTTGCCTTTTACTGTGTCTCTGCAAACTGTCTCACGTCCAAAGGGAAGCTGTTTTCTGACAGCTTCTGGGGTTGGAGATGGGCTTGGGGCATTGAGAGCAAAGCTAACACGTCAGACGATCTCCAGTAATTGGGTGAATTGCTCATCTGACACACTGGCTTTTGGCATATTAGTCTGCTCCCACATATTAATAGTCAAGTGTGGCCAACTGGAAACAGATTTAC